ACTGCTGTGGGTGTGGCTGGGCTGCAGTTCCCTTTGCCCAGAGCAGCCCCTGTCCTGCTGTGTTGGTGCTCGTGGCTGCAGCGCTGTTGGTCCCAGCCCAAGGCTTTGGCTGTCCCTGGGCAGTGCTGGCCCCGCAGGAAGCGTCTCTGCAACCCACCCCCACCCAATGGGCTGGGCTGGGCAAGTGTTTCAGAGGGGACATGGCTGGGACAGCTTGGGATAGTCCAGTCCATATGACATCATGCTCAGAATAAACTGAGAGAAGGTTCTTCTCTGCCCATCTCTGCAACCTGAAGGGCTACAGAGTCCTCTGGGGTATCGGCCACTGCTCCAGCTTTGTGTCATCAATGAACTTCCTGAGGAAGCACTGACCCCCTCATCCAAGTCACTGAGGGACAAGTTAAACTCCACTGGGCCCAGTAGAAGACTGTGGGGGACACCACTGGTGACAGGCCTCCAGCCACACCCTGTGCCACTGATTAGGACCCTCTGGGATCTGGCCCTTCATCTCCTTATCAGCTCTGCTTGTTTCCCTGACTGTTGGTGTGCACAGACTGGTCCTTGCCACACACTGCCCTTGCAGACCAGCTGCACTCAGCTCTGCTACCCTTCTGTGTTTCTCACATGGGTGGGTCCCCCACTCCAAGTCACAAGACTCAGCCAAAATCTGCTCCTCTCAAGTCCAGGATCTACACTCTTCTCTTGCCCTTCCCCTTGGCAGGTGACACCTCCCATTCCAGGGTCACCACAGCCAAGGCTGACACTGCTTTTCACACCCAGGCCAACTCTTCCTCTTGGAGAGAAGCAGAGGCAGATGAGCCTCCCTGTTTTCCACCAACCTGGCAGCTGTGCTCTAAAGGTCTGTGTCCCAAGGGGTGTCTTGACCAAGACCCTGCACAAACCTCTTGGACTCTTTGCATCCTGTCGTGGTGCCTTCTCTCCCAACCCGTCACAGCCCTGCAACCTGGGAACTGTCTCAGCAGGCCTGGGCTGTTATTGCCTCCAAGTGGAGTGAAGAGAGACTTGGGGCTGCAGCTCCTCCTGCCTGTGGCCCACACGCAGGGCATTGGGGTCTGTCTGGCTGCAGCCCCTCAGTGGGGGCACCGGGGCTAAGAACAGACTTGCAGTGGGGAAAGCTGCTGTGAAAGCCCCGAGAGCTGGGGTTTGCAGAGGCTTTGCTGACAGTGGCCTTGTGGGTGGACGTACTGGGACTCAGGCCCAGGGGGAAAATCACAGGCCTGATCCCTGAGGAGATCAGCACATGCTGCTGAAATGCTGGGGGAGAGGAGAGCCAGCAGAGGGAGGAAACAAGTGTGGACAGCCTGGGCTGATGTGCTTTGGACTCGTGCCTGGCCCGGCCATGGCTGGGCAGAGAAGGGACAGCCTTTGTGTCCCTGCAGGGCTGGGATTCACTCCCTGCCCCAAAGGCCCCCAATGTGTCTGAGAAGCCCTGGGTGGTGCCTGTCACACAACTGCTGGGAATGGGGACGGGCTTCCTGCACAGGCCCTGTGCTGTCCATGGCAGCTGCTGCACTTGTGCTGCAGAGCCCTGGCACCTCCCCTGGCACTACAGGCCCCTCTTTGGCTATTCAATCCAGGCTCAGCTGCCCTGAATCAGGTTCAGCAGTGAAGGGATGCCCGGGAGACAACTGCCATTGTACTCTGAGGACATGTAGAAAATACCCTGATAAAGAACAGGAGAGAGACCTCTCTCCCTGTGCCACCTGACTCCATTTGGTCACCTGAACACCTCTATGGGCTGCCCTGGACAGAAGGAACAGTGACAGATTCCCCTGTCCTACATGTGGGCACCTTCTGCCACTGAAGTTGGCCAAAGCAATGTCCCAGCAGCCTCCAAGAAGATCCCACAGCTGTTGCCCTGTCCCTAGGAACTGCTCCATTGGAACCTGCAGTTCCCAGCAGGAATCTCGGTCACCTTTGGCCCCTCGGAAGGAACCAGGGCTTTGTGTCCCAACAGGTCACTCCTGGCTTTTGTCTTCATTCATTGCCATGGGAGCTGGGACAAGGAGTCACCTGCAGGTGCCTGTTTTGGGCCCACTGAAGTGGGGCAGGAGGAATCCCAGCTGTGATGGTTTCACTCTAGGCCTTCCTGGAGACCAGTTTGTAACCGGGAAGGTGATCATGGAAGTATTCCATGCTATTCCTTTACGTAACTTGAGGTATAAATAAAACCAGCGGGAGGGACCTCTCTCTCTTCTTTTCCGGCGAGGTTCGAGAATGGTGGGTGGCCTCTGGAACTGAGGCCTACAGCGACTGCTGTTATCTGCCACGTGTGTGGGGAGAGTGTTGGACCACGTCCAGCCATCCTGCTTCTCTCAAGGGAAGTGATGAGATTTTGCCAATTCTTCAGTTTGCTGGTTACCGGGTTTTTAGATGGTGTAGACTTGTTTTGGTTTTTGTCCCTTTTCATCCTATTTTGCCCTTTTTTCCCTTCTCCCTCCCCCTTTTCCCTTTTAGGAAGCTATTTAGGGTTTCCGGGGTGATAGTATATAATATTCTCATTGTATATATCTGACTCATATGTTAAATATATATTTCCTTTTTTATATAGCTTTGGCTGTTTGGTTCGTTTTTTTTCTTCCCTCTCTGGGAAGCAGGTCTTTGTTGTCAAGTTTCGGAGACTTGGCGGGAAGCCAGCTTGAAACCTGCACACCAGCCCATGGGGGTTGTGGAGGGAGCTGAGTGTCCTTCTGGCCCCAGGTCTGCAGAGCCACAAGGAGACACCTCTGTTGACTCAGCTGAGTCCCTTCCCTCAGTGCAGGTGAAGGAGATCCCTCCTGGGCACTGTCTGGCTTTCCTGTCTAATGATGGGACATGAAAAGGGGACTCTTGGACTTAACTCTGTGTCTGTCTGGAGAAATGACCCTGCTGAAAGAAGTGTCTGTGCCCAGCTGAGAGAAGGAACATCCTTATTTCCTTCAGCTGTGTGCCAGCAGGTTCTCCTGGAGTCCCAGGGAGAGCTGGAGGGAGCCCAGAGGGGCAGAGAAAGGGCTGCCTGGGGTTGTTGCTGTGCTGCTGAGCTGGGCCGGGCTCCTGGCACACAGGGAGCTCCTGGCAAGCAAGAAGAGCTTCAAAGAGACAGCTCTGCTGGTGAGCAGCTCCTCTGCACAGCCCAGCAGGGCTGAGGGCACTGCCTGCAGCACCCAGGGCACAGGAGAGAAGGGAGAGAGAGGAGAGGCAGCCTGGGCTGGGAGGTGACTGAGTTCTCACTACGGGAGAAACCTTCCCAGGATTTGAATGAAGAATTCTCTGGCTGTAGGAAAGTTCAACTTCCCTTCCTGGAGGCATCTCCTAAAACTGGCACATCCCACAGCTTCTAGGATCTTTCAGGAGGACTCTCCCAGTTGCTGCAGTGCAGGGGAAGTGGCCATATGGTAGAGCAGGGCAGGAGCTGCAGGCAGCAAGGGCAGAGAGGAGAAGGGAGCAGGAGGTTCAAGGGATCCTGGGGTGGGAGGACAGGGCAGAGCTGCTCAGGGGAGGAACCCTGCCAGCCCTTTGCCGTGGTCAGGCTCTGGCTGCAGAGCAGTGCAGGTGAGTTCCTGCAAGTGCCTCTGCCAGCTGCCAAATGCCCCCAGTGGCAGGAGCTGTCAGGATGACTCTGCTGGATTTGCTGGGGTGCATCAGGAGAAGCTGCTGCAGAGCAGGACTTGCTGCTGCCCCCTCAGAGGTCCAGGGCAAGAAGGTTCCCTGTGCCAGGGCTGGCTGTGGGGTGGGAAGGTGGGGGTGCAGCCAGGGGTGCCCAGGGCTGTGGTGCAGAGCAGGGTCCTGTCCCCAGGGCTCTGTGTGCTGGGGCGGGGACTCTGCTGCCTGCCAGGGTCAGCTCTCAGCCCGGCCAAGGATCTGCAATGGCCCTGCAGCAGCCACAGCCCAGGCAAGGACAAGGCCCTGATTTCCAGCTGCTTCTGTGTGTCCCTCCTCCCTTGTCTGCAGTACTGTGGCATTTCACTGCCGTCCCCTGCTACCTGGGCTCTCCTTGTTCTCACCATTGGGTTTTCTGAGCCAGGGTGGGGTTTGGGGGTGGCATATTCCTGTCCAGATACAAACCCTTTGGGTGCTGCTGTGGGGATGTTCCTATGGGAGCCAAGTGCCCAAGTGCCCCCCAGGCAACTTCAGCCTATTCAGCTCTTTGCCTGGGTGTCCTGTAGGGCTGCAGGTGCCCTCCAAAAGGGGACAGCTCTGCCATAGTATCTCTGTGCTGCACAGGATCCCCGTGGAGAAAACTCATCAGTGCTAAATCCATGGAAATGCTCTGGGCAACCGTACTTGGCAGCTGCAATGATCCCTGTGTGTGGCAGTCTGGGAGCAGAGAGATGAGATCCTAATCAGGCATCCTGAGGAAGGCAAGGATTCTGTCAATCTGCTCTTTGAACTGGGTTTCCTCTGCTCCCAGAAGTCCCTTGTTTCTTTTTTAAGGGAATTCCTATGGGTGATCCCCCTTCAGTTCCAATCTACGAGCCAGGGGCAGCTGTGAACAGGAAAGATGGTGAGCTCTTGTCTCTGCACCAAGAGACCATCCCTTTGCCTCTCCGGATTCACCGGATTTCACTTGCAGCACATTAGAAATGTCAGAGATTTCAACCATCCAAACTCATTCCTGGCAAGAAGAACTGGAACAAAATCAAGTCCCCCAAATCCCCTCCCTCTGTTCTGCCCTTGGGCAAACTGTGACCAGCAGTTCTGGAAACACTTTGGTACATCAGAAGTGCATTTAATTGGAGGTCACCCTGTGCTCCAAGTTGCCTCTCACAGCACAACAAGAAGGATTCCTCAGGACCCCATTCCAGGGTCCCTGCTCTCAATGCCCCCTTCAACCAGCAAAACCCAGAGCTCGGGGAGAGGGATGCAGAGAGACCTTCCTGAAAAGAGGCCCTGAATATTGAATTGCTATGAGACATGCAAGATGTTTTGCTGATTGAGTCTGGCCTAATTCAGTTCTACCTTTTTTCTCCTAAACAAAAAACAATAACCTGAGGCAGCAAATGTGCAACAGCAGCTCCATGCCCCAGTTCCTCTTGCTGGCATTGGTAGACAGGAGGGAACTGCAGCTCCTGCACTTCTGGCTCTTCCTGGCCATCTCCCTGGCTGCCCTCCTGGCCAACGGCCTCATCCTCAGCGCCGTAGCCTGTGACCGCCACCTGCACACCCCCATGGGCTTCTTCCTTCTCAACCTCTCCCTCACAGACCTGGGCTGCATCTGCACCACTGTCCCCAAAGCCATGCACAATTCCCTCCATAACACCACAACCATCTCCTACACGGGATGTGCTGCACAGCTCTTTTTCTTTTTCTTCTTCATCTCAGCAGAGCTTTGTCTCCTCACCATCATGTGCTACGACCGCTACGTTGCCATCTGCAAACCCCTGCACTACGGGACCCTCCTGGGCAGCAGAGCTTGTGCCCACATGGCAGCAGCTGCCTGGGCCACTGGCTTCCTCACTGCTCTGCTGCACACAACCAGCACATTTTCCCTACCCCTGTGCCAGGGTAATGCCCTGGGCCAGTTCTTCTGTGAGCTCCCACACATCCTCAAGCTCTCCTGCTCACACTCAGGCTACTTCAGAGAAATTGGGCTCATTGGGGTTAGTGCTTGTTTAGCACTTGTTTTTTTCATTTTCATTGTTTTCTCGTATGTGCAGATCTTCAGGGCTGTGCTGAGGATCCCCTCTGAGCAGGGACAGCACAAAACCTTTTCCACGTGCCTCCCTCACCTGGTTGTGGTCTCCTTGTTTATCAGCACCTCATTCTTTGCCTACTTGAAGCCCCCTTCCATCTCCTCCCCATCCCTGGATCTGATTGTGTCAGTTCTGTACTCAGTGGTGTCTCCAACACTGAACCCCCTCATCTACGGCCTGAGGAACCAGGAGCTCAAGGATGCCCTGAGGAAACTCATATCTGGGTGTTTTTCAGAGACAATAAACTCTCTTCTGCATGTTATGTACCTCATTAAAGGCCAATCCTGTTATGGACTTCATTAAAGGCCCACCATATCTTCTCTATTTTTTGCTCCTGGTAGGGATGTTACTTTTGTGAGAATTTTTTCACACAAAAAAATCTTTAAATATATATGTGAAAGTATATATATATTTTTATATATATATATAAACACCATTTTCAATTCAGTGTTTGCCTTTCTAGCCTGGCCCAGAGGCTGTACAAATTGGGAATTTTACTCACTCTGTGCTTAAACCAAATAAAGAACTCTGCATTGGCTTGTTTGCCTGACATCTTTCCTCTCTTACTTCTCTGCAGCTGCAGGGTCGGTACCTCTGTGCAGAACTGGGCCAGAAAAGAGTCCCAGCAGAGCAGCACTGCCAGGGAACAGCAGCCCTTCTCCTGCGTGACCTCCTCTCCCTTCCCTTCCACACAGTCCTGCAGAACCCTGTGTTGTTGGAGGTCTCAGTGCTCTGGCAGTCGGTCCAAGTCCTGCTGCAGGACTGTCCAGGGACTGCAGGTAGGGACAGCCACGGGCACTGCTGGCACAGATCTGACCTCTGCAGCAGCACTGCCATCCTGCAGGGGCATCTCCTCAGGACAGGACCTGAAAGCTTCCCTCTGCTTTCCACTTTGCTCTCCAGGATGTGCCCAACACAACGCCCTGGAGAGGAAAACAGCAGTGACCAGCACAAGGGTGGGAGTGCTCAGGGTAGGGGCACCCAGCAGTGCCCTGGCACAGCCAGGGCACTGCCCAGCACTGGCCTCTCACCCCAGGCCATTGGGCTTGTTCTTCCCTCCAAGGAGGGAGAGCAAATGACCAGCTCAGGAGTCCATGTTTGCCCTGCATGCACAAGACATGCCCCTGTGTCACGGCTTGGGGCTGGGGGGGGGAAGGCTTAGACAAAGTTGATGGCAGAAGCCGTCTCGTTGAGCTACGAGGTACAGAAAGGACCCCCTTGCTTTCCAAATTCCTTCTCAGAGAGGAACCTGGCTCTGGCTGGATCCAATCTCAGGTTCAGATTTTGGTTTAAACTAAATGAAATTATAGAGGTGTGATTCAATCACTTTGTCCTGCAGGTTTTAGTGATGGTAAATCAGAAATATTTCTATAAAATGAATTATTTATTATGACAAATGAACAGAAAATTGATCAGACAAATGATCAGATGATGTACCTGAAACAGAATTATTTACTGCACAGTATAAAAACCAAAAACTCCTAGCAGTATAGTGTAAGAAACGACAGTGCAGTCTATCAAAATCATTCTATTAAAGCAATTGGATCAAAGCCAACAAAAAAACAGTCCTGAAGCAGAGATTGAGGTAACTCACCCTACAACAACAGGGGGTAGTTCTCTCTCTTTCACTTAACCCCTAGGCAGTGACCATGAAGAGCTGTCCCTGCTTCATGACAGAAGCACCACACACTTCAAGGAAGTCTGTGGAAGAATCTGTTACATGAAAGTTGGACGGGGTTTTTATAGTTTTTATAGGTTTGACTGCTGGACATATTTGCAGGCTTCTCTGTCAAATCCTGCTTCAGAAAGCAAGATGTGTGTTTGAAGTTTCAGGAAGCAGTTTGGGTTTAGCATAATTCAACAATAAAAACAGTACCTTGACACCAGCAGTAACTCACCACAGAGAGCTTGTACTGTTTGCATTCTCTGACCATTGTTTAGGTATTATCAGAGCAGAGCATCCAGCCAGAAATGGCCGCTTGATTCCATGAGGTTCCAAAAACTCTCAGGATTCCTTTGGTTCCATGAGGCCTTGCAATGTCACAACAGATCCTTGGTTCCATGAGGCTCTGGAGTGTCACAATGGCCCTGATGATTTCATGAGTTTCCACTATGTCCCAGGATTCCTTTAGTTCCCTGCAGTATCACAATGGACCCTTGATTCCTTAAGGTTCCGCAGTGTCTCTTGGATCCTTTGGTTCCTCAAGGCCCTGCAATGTCACAGTGGCTCCTTGATTCCATGATGTTCCAAATATCCCAGGGTTCCCTTGGCTCCAAGAGGTTCCCCAATGTCCCACTAGCCCCCTGATTCCAGGAGGTCCTGCAGGGTGAGAAGTCCAACCCTCTGCAATAAGCAGGAACATCCACAACTAGATCAGGTTGCTCAGAGCCCTGCCCAACCTGCCCTTGAATGTTTCCAAGGATGAGGCATCACCTCTCTGGGCAACCCATGCCAGTGTTTCACCATTCTCACTGTAAAAAATTCTTGGTTATATCGACTTCAAATCTGCCTTTTTTTAAGTTTAAAACTATTTGTCCAATCGCAGCTATGTCCAGGCTCTACAAAAAGTCTGCCCCCATCTTTCTTAGAAGCCTCTCTGGTGGTGCATCCTCCCTCCATGCTCCTCAGGCCTGGTCATGATCTCAGGAGCTCCTGACAAACCTTGGCCAAACCAGCTGAGCAATGAAGAGCCCTTGGACTGTACCGAGGGTGTGGGGAAGTGTCCCTGGACTGGACCAGGTGCTCTTGGATGATACAGGTGGGAACAATCCAGAGTGGAACAGTTAGGGAACACAGGATAATCAGTCATCCCATGAAAGTCTTGGAACATTCCCTGAACCATGACCCAAATGGAACAGTTTGGATAAAATTCCCAAATAGTTTGGAAACTCCAGTCATTCCTGACACCAGGATGGAAATTCAGCAGATAACTAAAGCCAGTCCCCTTGTGAACCCACACCCAGCAGGGCTGAGGGAGGCCCTGGCAGCTCCCCAGCACCTCCCTCTCAGTGGGACACCTCTGGCAGCCTCTCGCAGCTCGGGAACCCTCCAGTTTGCAACAATCCAAAGAGCGTCGTTGATACCCAGGACAATTCTGATCCCCCTCCACAAACACTCCTCCAGCTGCGACCCTTGTCTGTTGGGAAACACAAAGGGATTGGCGGGAGTGTTCCCCTGACAACAAGGAGAATTTCGGAGAAGGACCTTTCCACACCCAGCTATTGATGTGTCCACACATCTCTGCCTGAGTGTGGGTGTGAATTGACTGTGGTGTGAAGGTTGTTATTGTGAATCTATAATTCAGTCACTGTTAAAATTATAGAATATGCTATTGAATTACTTGATAACTGTTCAACTGCTCAATGATTAAATGCTACTAATCTCTTTTACTCCCTTATCTTTGGATCCAAATCCTTTGCACCCTGACCCTCTTGCATCCCAAGGCTCTGGGTAAATCATTCCCTTTAAAAAAAAAAATGTTGATTTTGTGACGTCCACTTTAAAATCTTCCTGCTTAGCTAAACTACAAAACAACTCTAATTAGTTGTTGATGTCTTGAAGACATGAAGACAATGAAAGGAAGGGAAATAATTTGTTTGTCAGTGTTTTAATGAGCCCCACGGTGTGTTTGGAGCTGCATCAGCTGTCAGTCCAAGATGGGCCATGTCAGAACTGGGGAGGCTGGGGGGTGAGGAGCAAGGTTGATCATCCAGGGTCAGTGTGGATCTCCTGAGGAGACACTCAACATCAAGATCACTTGGAGAACACCTCTATCACCTCTCCTCTGAACTAAAAAATATCCATCCTTGAATTAAAAAAAGAAAAGAAAGGCACAAACTTTGAAGACTTGTTTTGAAATTGCCTTGAAAACAATTAAAGGAAGACAAAGAGATCCTGAGGGATTTCTGGATTTTAATGAGCCCCACGGTGTGTTTGCAGCCCAGCCCATGATCCTGAGGTACTGAGAGAAGATTGAAGAAGCTGCTCAAGAAGTCGGAAGCCAAACTCCAAGTCCCTTGAAGCATTGCTGGGCCCCACTGAGGGCAGGCACTGACAAAGCCTCCCCAGGGACTCCTTCGAACAGCTCCTTGGAGGCCAGGAGTGCAGGCAGACAAAGGCTCTGGGCAGGCCCCTGCACAGCTGAGCAAAGCCTGGCTTGGTTTTGTGGAGCAGAAAGGCCAAGGTCTGAGCCCCAGGCCCTGGTCCAGCAGATCCTGTCCCTCCTGGGTGGCTCAGGGCTGTTTGGGGGCACTGGGATGGGAGGGGGAGGAACAACAAAGGCCAAAACTGGGCAACTCCTCCCAGGCTCCTCAGGGAGGGGTGAGGCAGAAACCAAGTGCAGAGCCTGAAAGGAAAGTTGCTTGTGGTGGCCTGAGTGGCAGAGGCAGCTGCCAGAGGCAAGGGGACAAAGACCTGGGTGCCTTTGGGCCTTGCAACCCTGCCCGAGCCCTTGGCCATCTCTCCTGCAGGCTGTCCTGCCCTGGCCCTGCTGCTGCTCTGGCCTTGCAGGCTGCACCCACCCCTCCTGCTTTCCAACCCCCCTCCCAGCAGCATTTCTAGACCCTCCCTAATGGCTCTGCACCAGCTCTGGCTGTTCCCTGGAACAAAAAGCCATGCCATCACCCTCTTAGTGACCTCTGGCTCCATAAGGTTCCCCTTTGAGTAATATTCCTTTTTCCCCACCTTCAGTCTGAACCTTCCAAGCTGCACTTTAGGGGTTTCTTTTTCTTTCTAGCACCAAGAAAAGCTCCATCCTGTCAGATCTCCTCTAGACTCTCTCCAGTTCTTCCTCATTCCTCCAGAATGGGGAACTTCACACCCAGATAGACCAGTCCAGATGTGGTGACACCAGGGCTGAGTCCAGAAGGGTGACAACTCCCCTGTCTGGGTGGCCACACGCCCCCCAAGGCAGCCCCATGTGCATTGGGCCTTATTAACTTGGATCCTGAGCCCCTGTGCCACAGGACATCCCTCACACAGCACAGGCCCTTCTTCTGGGGGTCACTCCAGGTCTGAGCAGATCCGGGTCAGCTCCCATTCCTCTGCCAACCCCCTGGGCCTGCTCTGGGTCCTCCAGGTCCTTGCCCTGCTCCCAAGGGCTGTGGGGGTGGTTAATGGGCAGGGCTTGGGGTTTAGAGCTCAGGGTCGACATTAGACAGAAGTTTAGGGAGGTTTGTTGTTCTGCTGGCAGTGTCTGGTTCATGATTAGGGTTTTGGGCTGGGTCAGGATTAAAGTTTGGCTTTTCATACTGGTAATACAGATTTGGGAATGGAGTGGGCATTAGAGGACAAAGAAGAGTCTGGAGTTCTGTGTTTGGTCTTTTTCTGGCTTGGAATTAGAGCAGTGGATTCCTTTCAATGGGAGGGGCAGTACTTTTGGATAGTGTTGGGGTTTGAGGTTACAAAGTACATAAAGGTCCATCAGGAGTGTTTACACAGTCAGTGTTTCAGCACCCTCAGCATTCCCAGAGCCTAGTTTTACCTCATCAAAATCTTTCCTATCTGTTGGCCAAGTCCCTCTTTCCTTCTCCAACTCTTTTCCTCCCAACCTCCTCAGAACTTTCATCAGAATGGGCTCAGCTGTGTGATGATGCTCTGCAACCTCCTGGAATCAAGGAGCCACTGTGAAACTGCAGACCCTCATGGAATTACAGGGCCATTGTGACACTGGGGAAAGCCATGGAATCAAGAGGCCACTGGGACACTGCAGGGTCCCATGGAGCCAAAGGAACCCAGGGACAGTGGGCAACCTGATGAAAAAAAGGGGTCATTTTGACACTGCAGAAATGGAATCTAGAGGCCATTGTGACACTGCAGGGCCTCTTGGAAACAAAGGAACCCTGGTCCACAGTGGAATTTCATGGAATCAAGAGGCCATTGTGACACTGTGGAACCTCATGGAACATAAGGAATCCAGGGACACTGTGGAACTTCATGGAAACAAGGAGCAGTTGTAACACTACAGGGCTTTACAGCAGCCCCCGAGCTGGTGGGGCTGCTCTGCAGAGCAGGGGGGCTGTGGGGCCCGGGGCCATGGAGGACTCTGTGGGGCTGTGCTTCTCAAGCTGGGAGGCAGAGCCAGCTGATGGTGTTCCCTGCCACTGATCACCTCCCACAGACACTCCTGTGTGGCCATGGAGGGTGCTCAGAGGGGCCCTGCCTTGTTCCAGAGCTGGGACATGGCTTTGGGGGCTGCCCTGGCTCCTCCTATGGAAGTTCACTGAGGGGAGAAGAGTCACTCCCCAGACTCCTTTCCCTGTTCCCGCTGTGTGCCCTGTGCTCTCACGAATTACAGCAGACACGTGGTACTTTATCTCTTGGTGACTCCAGCCTGGGCAGGATTCTGCTGTCCTTGAGCCCAGCTCTGTCCCTGCCCGGGGTCACAACACTGACACCAAGCAGAACAGTGACCAACCAACCAGAGCACTCAGGGACCTTACCCAAAGGCACAGAAGGGGAGTGTTGAACTGGGGAGGATGAAGTGCTGGTGCTCCCTTGCAGTGCTGCTGTTCTGGTCCCCTTTTCCCCAACCCCCCTGCACACAGGCACTGCCTTGACATTTTACAAAGGTCTCTGAAGAACCATATCAAAACCACCAGGTTCCCACTGTGTCATTTATTTGTTTTAATATATGGAGAGGGTTCCTCATTTACAGAGCGGAAGGGTCAGTGAATTAGAAGTGCGATCCAGAACAAAATTTTATTCTGCACTACATAATAAAAAGTAAAAATACTGAAGAAAACATTCTTAGCCCCTCCAAAATCCTGAGAAGAGAGGGTTGGCTTTTAGCAATTGATGTTAAGAATTAGAAGAAAACAGGCAGCTTTTGGTTTCTGAAAAGCATCCAGTCAGTGTTTTCCTTATGGCATCCTTGAGCTCCTGGTTCCTCAGGCTATAGATGAGGGGATTCAGTGCTGGAGGCACCACTGAGTACAGAACTGACAGAGCCAGGTCCAGGGATGGGGAGGAGATGGAGGGGGGCTTGAGGTTGGAAAATATGCCAGTGCTGACAAAGACTGAGACCACAGCCAGGTGAGGGAGGCACGTGGAAAAGGCTTTGTGCTGTCCCTGCTGAGAGGGGATCCTCAGCACAGCCCTGAAGATCTGCACATACGAGAAAACAATGAAAATGAAAAAAACAAGTGCTAAACAAGCACTAACCCCAATGAGCCCAATTTCCCTGAAGTAGCCTGAGTGTGAGCAGGAGAGCTTGAGGATGTGTGGGAGTTCACAGAAGAACTGGCCCAGGGCATTACCCTGGCACAGGGGCAGGGAAAATGTATTGGCTGTGTGCAGCAGAGCAGTGAGGAAGCCAGTGGCCCAGGCAACTGCTGCCATGTGGGCACAAGCTTCCCGTAGTGCAGGGGTTTGCAGATGGCAACGTAGCGGTCATAGCACATGACGGTGAGGAGGGAAAACTCTGTTCCAAGAAAGAAGACAAGCAGAAAGACCTGGGCAACACATGCCGTGTAAGAGATGGTTGTGGTGTTATGGAGGGAATTGTGCATGGCTTTGGGGACAGTGGTGTAGATGCAGCCCAGGTCTGTGAGGGAGAGGTGGAGCAGGAAGAAACCCATGGGGGTGTGCAGGTGGTGGTCACAGGCTACGGCGCTGAGGATGAGGCCGTTGGCCAGGAGGGCAGCCAGGGAGATGGCCAGGAAGAGCCAGAAGTGCAGGAGCTGCAACTCCCGCCGGTCTGCGGATGCCAGGAGGAGGAACTGGGGCATGGAGCTGCTGTTGCACATTTGCTGTTCCTTAGGACAGGTCTGTTCAGAAAAGGAAAGCACAGGGAACAATTAAGACAGCCCCCTCTCAGCAAAGCCAGTGCAGTTTTCAGGGAAATCCCCTCCAAGTCAAGGCATTTCTTTTCCCTGGTTTGTGCTCTCTGAGGCTGCTCTGAGGAGCAGGAGCTCTGCCCATGTGCTGCGAAGGCCTCAGCTTTGCTCTGCTGCAGTGTCGACATGGAGCTGCTTTGGGGCAGCTCTCATGATCACAGGGGATGTCACATGGAACCCAGTTTTGATGGAAAAGTTCAATTCCTGTACTGTTGTCTTGGAGCAATTTGGGCTGCAGAAGAGAGGCACAGAGTATCCTTCAAATAATTTGGAATGGGTTTTTTGGTTACAATCATAACATCTGCTTTTTTAGGGGCAAAGTTTTCCGATTACAAATCTGAGGAGTGTTGAGACAGGACAGGCAGAAGGACTGAGCTTTCCGTTGCTTATTGCAGAGCCAGGAGAGCTGCAGTGCCTCTCAGTTTGTTTCCAATCTGCCCTGCACCTTCCCTTGGGCTGCCTTGAAGGCGACTTCACACACGGATTCATTTTTAAAAACCCCACCAAGATCTGTGCTGAGAGCAGGGCAGTGCTGCTTAAAAAGGCAGATCTCTGAAGTGTCCAGAGGTGCAGCTGTGCTGGACAGAGCAGGACAGGAGCCCTCCCGCAGAGAAGCCAAGGACTGGCACAGGAGAGTGCCCACCCCCAAGGGAAGGCTCAGCACTGCCCAGGATCCTGTGCTCATTTCTGATCCTGCCTGAAATATTCATGTCTGAGAGTAAAAGAGTTGGAATATCAGTGCAGCCTCCTGAACCGAGAGAACAATGTCTCTGCTACAATGCCTTAGCAGGAAACACACCTCAGCACTAATTCCTTTCCTGTAGCCCCTGTCTTTTCTGAGCTTTGCAAAAAATTCTGCATTAAATATGATGTAGTGTTCTGGAGCTGTGAGCAGGTCTGACCCTGCATCACCAAGCCATGGAAAAGATCCTCCTCAGCTGCCAGGTTTGCTCCTTGCCCACAGCCCTTCTGCCCCAGCCCTGGGAACAGCTCCCCGGGCCAGTTGAGAGCTGCCCCTGGCAGGCAACAGAGTCCCTGCCCAGCACAGCGCCCTGGGTTGCAGGACCCTGCTCTGCCCCACAGCCCTGGGCACCCCTGACTGCACCCCCGGCTTCACAGCTCTGCCAAAGTGCCCCAAAACAGTCCCCTGTTCACCCATCCCATCAGCTGGGGCTGGGTCAGCTTTAGGAGATGCCTCCAGGAGCTGCCCCTGCACTGCCCTGCAGCCACAGACTCACCGTGTGCAACCCTGCCAAGATTCCTCCTGCAGGGAGCTCTCAGCCATCCTGCCAGTGCTGAGCCCCTTGAAGCTCTGTCTGTGCCCTGCTGGTGTCCCTGAGCTACCCTGGCAGTGCCCTCAGCCCTGCTGGGCTGTGCAGAGGAGCTGCTCCTGGGCAGAGCTGTCTCTTTGAAGCTCTTCTTGCTTGCCAGGAGCTCCCTGTGTGCCAGGAGCCCTGCCCAGCTCAGCAGCACAGCAACTGCCCCGAGGCATTTAGTGACCCTCGGGGAGGGGTTGGCGTTATTTTCATGAGACTCAGTCCCTGAGAGTAAGTTCAAACAACTTTTCAAGAAGTCAAAATGAGATTGAAACACTAAAGTTTCTTGTAGTGCTAATGAGTCTCACTGAGGGACACAACTGAGAACGTGTCCCCATGTTCCAGTTAGAGCAGAAGACTGCAGACAGTGATGACAAGGATGGACAAGCAAAGGAAAGGTGACTCTGATGCTGAATAAACCTTGACTTGTTCCCTTCATCCAATGGGTCAAGGCCTGAACCCCAGCCCATGGGAAGGCAGATCCTGTCCCTGCCTCATTCCTCAGGGCTCTTCCTGGGGCACTGGGATGTGGGATGTGCAATGCCAAGGGCAGGACCATGGGGTGGCACCTGCCAGGCTGCTGAGCAGGGACAAGGAGGTCAGGAGGCCCCAGGGCTGCAAGGGCCAATTGTCTCCTCCTGGCATCAGGGGCACAGACAGCAGCCATGGCCAAAGGCCTGCAGAAGGTGGCTCTGTCAGGGCCTTTCAGCTTCTCCCCCTCCCTGTCTCCTCTCCAACCCAGGCTGTCCTACGGTGTCCATGCCCTGCCCCTTTCCCTGCAGGCTGTCGTCATCCCCCCGGCTGCCCCACCTGGCTGGCACCTTCCTGCACTGACATCTCTGTGTCCTCCCTGGCTCTTCCTGGACACACAAAGCCTTGGGCTCATCCAGACTCCTGTTGGGTGATGTGTTGCAACACAGCACCGCCTTGGAGTAAAATTCTTTTCTCCTCGTTCCAATCTGCACCTCCCTAGTTGCACTTGGCATTAATTTTTTCTTTCTCAGGATCTTTTCTGCTATGACAAAAGGATCCACCAGCTCTAAATCCTCCCTTCAAGCCCTCTGAGGGCTGTCCTGTACTGTCCTCAGTCTGCACACCATTGAGGCCACAGCTCCTCAGCCCCTCTCTAGTGCTCATGTGCCTGAGACCTTCCAAGCCCATCTTGGGAGATCTCTGGGCACTCACCAGTGTTTCTGCAGATGAAAATCTCATGGTCATAATCTAAGTAAATCACAGGGTTACTTTTTACCAAGGCCTGTAGTGGCAATGGCTTTGAACTGAAAGAGAAGACTTTTATACTGGATAATAGGAGAAAATATTTAACAATAAGGATGACAAGAACTGGAAGAGGTTTCCAGAGAAGTGGATGTCCCATCCCTGCATTTCTCCAAGGTCAGGGACTGTGAGTAACCTGAATTAGTAAAAGATGATACTGTCCATGTGCAGGGACTTGGACCAGATGACCTTTTAGCTCCCTTCCAAGCCAAATCATTCTGGGATTCGAGTTTAAAGTCCCAAACTCCTTCTCCAAAGAATCCCTGTGGTCCATGTGAGGAATATATTAGGGAGGAGAGTTTGGATTAGTCCTGCCTTAAGCAAAGGCAAAGCCACCCATGGGATTGTTTCTGCTCAAGGACTTGGGTGCACTTGGTGGATGATGCAGAGGGATGAGGAAACACACTGTGTACCTCAAGGGGATTTGATTTTTGGGTCAGAACAGTCCATGATGTTGAATTGTAGAATATTATTTGTTGAATGATGCTCCCACTGTGTGTAATAACTCCCATGAACAAGGAGGTCTTTCCTTATGTACAGTTTTTTATTTTCTATGCTTTTGATATTTTCTTAAAAAAAAGTCGTGTTTACCTTCCCTCCTTCTTCAGTAGCCTCCCATCTTGTGTGTCTCAGAGACTTAGTCTAACTCAGCACCACAACCGGGGAGACCCTGAGAGTG